CGTCATATAACTTAAATTTGCCTCAGAGGTTTCTAAATTTCAATTTAGCAATTCGCAAATGCATAATAGTAAAATTATTTTCTAAGTGTGATATGAACTATTAACTGTAAAAATAAGGATCAATAATAAAACCCAATCAAATTTTAAAATATTTCTTAATTAACTATAAATAAAATTTTAAATGAATATTTTATTTTAATATATTTATTGATTATCATATAAGAGGATATTCAACAAAGATGTACATATTTTGGAAACTAGGCCAACTATATGCAGGTAGGGGAAAGAGTACCATGTTTCAAATATAAGAATATATGTAATGAAATTAGACTAGAACGCTATTCATAATGTCAGCTTTCGAAATTTTTAGTATTTATAAATATGTTTAGAAACAATTAGTAAATGTTATTATAGAGCCTATTCAGTCTACGCCTCTCAAGATAAGTTAATAACTGAAAATAGGGATCTTTTATCTATGATACGAACAGTCCTCCTGATGCTATGGAAGCTAACTTAATCAGGATTCTGATGCTTTTATCTGAATCATATTGTGGTTTATATTTATGCAAAGTTTATCGGCACCCACAAATTGCGTTGTAAAAAACTATTGTATATCTAGTCGACACTTTTATAGATTGATTCGTTTTCAAAAAGGAATAAAGAGAAAATTAACTTTTCTGTGTATAAAGGTTTTTTTGCATAACTCCAATCGGGAATCCCTATTAAGAAAGTTAACTGGGTTTATAACTAACCCTAGACTAATTAATCAAAAGGTACACTTTGAATTTTCATTTGATATGAATCGCAAAGGGCTCTGCTCTTCTCCAGCCGCAATAAGCACCACATGCTTGCGAATCCCTTCGAGGATGTTTACGAGAACTTGGCGAGTTAAAAGTGTAATTCATCCTGAATGTTAACATCTATTGGAATTCAAAGCCATGTGACATGACAAGGCCTTATCACATTCTTATTGAAAAATCCACCTTTATGCCTTAGATCATTTTAATAAAGCTAAAATGACTGATTTTTTATTCAGGCTTTATTAAGGGATATATGTTATCGTAAATCAGCTTATTTGTTCACGATTTCTTTGAAGGCGGGAGGCTCATTGGAATTAAACGGCAGAGGCTTTATAACTAAAAATTAGTTTAACTGATTTAACATATCCGATGTGAGGGATTTGGTCAGTCTGAGACCCTTTTGGCAAAACTTGTAAATTTGGCAGAAATTACTCCAGCCATAATGGTACTTTGTATTAGGATCAAGTAGTTAAATATTCCAAGTAGGCTGGTCATCATGAAGGTAGTTAATATAGTTTATAACCAACTAACCATTAATGATAACGCCTCAATAATTTTATTATAATTTGTAATATTAATTAGTATTGCTTTAGAGGTCATGGTAAAAATGAGTGAATTAACTTAAAAATGTAGAAAGAAATTCGTTATTTAAAGGCATTAATAATAGAAAACAGCTATAATTTATTATCAAAAAAAGTTTCAAACAATTAATTATTAATATAGATTGATAAAAATTGAAGAGTATTTATGTTTCTATTAAGCAATATTAAATTACTTGGTGTTTATATTTTTACACGTAACCCGTTCCCTTTGGTTTCTAAGTCATGCATCCCCTCTTAATCTTATTTACTTTCTTTGGCTTATGTTCATGTCATATCAATGATAATGTTGACAGGAAAATTCTTGTTCTGCTAGAAAATCTTGCTATCCGTGAAACTCATTCATCATTCTTTAAGATGTTAAAAGGTATTCACACCAAGTTTTACTCTCTAAGATAGGTCATATGAATTGACGTACAAATTTGCTGATGACTTTTCACTTAATCTTATGAAATTTGGTGAATACGCGTTCAAACACCTCATTATCTTTGCTCCATCCGCCAGGGGTTTGTTCCACTTTTTTATTATTTCTTAAGAATTTGGTGGAAAACTTGATGTCAAGTCGATCGTTAGGTTTATAGATGAAGGTGGGCATGTATTGGTTGCAGGCAGTCCAGATATAGGTGAGGCTATTCGAGAACTTGGAAGTGAGTGCGGAGTTGAGTTTGATGAAGATAAAACATATGTCATCGATCATCTAAATTATGATAAAAAAGATGATGGAAAAGTTAATATAATTTGTATTTGCCTCATTTTTGTAGCACACTTTAGTAGTTGTTCCTCCTGATAATCTTGCTAATTTGCCTATAATCACTGGTACTAACCATAGTAAACCCTTCTTGTATCGTGGCGTCGGGTATTAGGTCATTTACTAATTATTTATCCAGGCTTTCAGTCGACGTGGAAAATCCTCTTTTGACTGATATTCTTCATGGCTCATTAACTTCTTATTCGTATAATCCGGACAAGCCAATCAATGATTACCCCAATGGTGTAGGGATTAATACAGTTTTGATAGCGGCGCTCCAAGCTCGAAATAATGCACGATCTGTCTTTATTGGATCATTGGAATTTTTTTCTGATGAATTCTTTTCCTGGAATGCTGAGAATGCATATACTGGTAAAATGTAAGTATCCGCGTTATTTCATTTCGGGTAGTCGACCATTTTCGCTTATTTTTTC